TGTAGTTTCTGATTTATTGAAACTATAAATGTACGTTTCGCAGCAGATAAGCATCTTCATGGCCAAAATGTAGTCAATGTTTTGTCACAGTACATTATAAAGATATGGTTAACAGAACCTTTAAGAGATAACCTGTAATGACTCATGGTGACAAGAGCATTTTTTTATACAACATTCAGTGTTCCTTTATTTTTGGGTGGTGAAGAAAAATAATTGAGTTAAAAGGCAAAGGCAAGCAACACTGAGTCCCATCTATACTATCATGTTACCCATTCACCTGATAAATTATAACTTGAAAGATTAAACTTAAATGATTTTCTGGAAAATTCACAGAGTTATATTTTGTGGCTCTAGGGGAAACTGGTTTACGCCAATCAAGGAAAAGCAAGCGACTATGAGTACCTGAACAAGACCATTGATCTAAGAGGAACCATTGCGATAACCAGATATGGTGGAGCGGGAAGGGGAGATAAAGTAAGTTTATCATTGTTATTAGTTTGCATTTGTTTTTGTTTTTTACATTACAGATGAACAATGTGCTCATTAAAGTCAGATGATGCAGGCATGTGACTACCTTGCTTAGTAGGTCAGGGGAAAAATAAAGGCTGACTTCAGCTCCTTGCTGCAACAGTCCTTTCATAAAACATAAAAGTCAAAAGGTCCACCTTGAAGGATATTGCAAAAGGAGCATAAGAAACGTTCTTATTCGTTTATAAACTGGTTAGAAGTGTTTGGTACCCTCTGCCTGATGACAGAACTTGAAAACAGACGATGTTCAGGGTGGAAAGAGTCTCTGACAATGTTTATCGCGTTCCCAAGGCAGCGACAAGGGTACAGTTATATTTTATGTCAATGTCATGTTTTTTTTTTTTTTTTTTTACAACCTTTACTGCCTCTATTGGTTTTGGTTCATCACAAGTTATTGCAAAATCAGAGCCGTATCGAATGCAAAACAATAAACAATTTATTTAGACATTACTTGTTTTGAGTTCTGAATAAAATGCAGTTTTATTTTTCCTCCTGACCAAATTTTTAATGCTGGATCTCACCTGGTGAGGGCACCTCCTTCTTCCCATTTGCAGTGTCCCCTTTAAGGCCTGTCACAACATTAAAATGTAAACATATTGATTTTTTTTTTTTTTTTTTTGCCATTCTTCCATTAAAAATCAGATTTAGTGACCTGATGACAAGTTTTCCTATGGTAAAACCATCAGGTGCTGATCACAACATTTCCAGACCATCAGGTAATGTCAACAAAAGAATGTGGCTAATGTGATTTAATGTTTGATGCAGGCCATCAATGCTGCAGTCTACGGTGTTGTTGGTGTGCTGGTTTACACAGACCCTCTGGACATGAATGATGGTCATTTATCAGAGGACAAGACATACCCAAACTCCTGGTACCTGCCTCCCACAGGAGTGGAAAGAGGTGCCTATAGCAGAGACTTTGGAGATTTGCTCACACCGTACTTAGCTGCCAAAGGTAATCAGTATGTTCTGTTACAATATGCCAACAGCTAGCCGCCATATGTGATCTTGATTATTATTTATTTTTGATTTTCTAGAGGAAACATATAGAATCCCACCTGAAGACATAACCGGGATTCCTCCTATTCCAACACAGCCGATAGGCTTTGAAGATGCAAGGGCCCTGATTTGGTCTGTGGAAATTTGCTTGTGAAATTGTTACAACAAAAAAAAAAAAAAAAAGACAATCACAACTAAAACATCATTATATTAATATAATATAATTTCATTGTTCAAGTGAGTTGGGTGGAGAGAAGGCCCCATCTGACTGGCAGAGAGGATTCAATTGTACCTATAATCTCGGTGGACCAGGTTTCAAATCAACGTCTCACTTCAACAACAGGTTGTCAATATTTTACAAGATACTGAGCATTTTAACAAGATTGTCATAAGTTATATTTGTTTAACAAAACCTTAGCCAGGGATTCAACTATACTGCATTGGAACACTTAGATTACAAACAAAATCTTTCCTTTTTGGAAAAGACTGAAGCAGAAAGAAAAGTTACAGCTGCACTGTTTGTTTGACTGTAAAAAAAGCAGGACATTTAAGCCACTTGTAGAAAATTTTAAATATTATACAGATAGAGCAATGAGCAATAGAATAGTCACATTCAACTGTTGGCTATTGTCTTTTAATTAAAGTATTTCAGTACTTTCAAACACTTTAAATAAAACCTCATATAGTGAGTTAAATGACTCTCAAACAATTCTTGAACTTTAACATGATTCAATCTAAGTTTAGCAGAGAAATAGTGGGCAGAGTTAGAGAGCTGGGACATTATTATCAAAAGAATGGAGATGAGCCAAGAAAAACATTTTCTGTTGGGTTTTATACCTCAGAGATATCCGTAAAGTTAGCAGGTTGGCGTCTATCTGATAGGGTGTCATTACTTGAAGTCCAGAACATGTTCCCTTATCAAGCCTGGCACACTTTATGATTTGGTATCTATATAGCCTATTATATCTATTTATGTTGCTCCTTATTTCCTTTTTCTCTTCCTCTAACCTTGTGACTCATCCAATGAATGTAATTACTTTCATCCTGAAAATGTTCAGCTTTAACTAATTTCAATCCTAAGGGAGATTAAATAAATCATTAGAAATTATACTTTATATCAGTGATTCCAAACCAGGGCCAATAGTACCCCTAGTGGTCTCCGAATGCATTGCAGAGAGTACAAGAAAACATTTAATATTTTACTTCCCAGATTAAGAAATACAATAAAAACAGGGCTGGGATGGGTTTTGCTCTTTAACAGCCCAAATGCAGAATAGACCCAGAATTTATCCACCAAAAAGAAAAAGAAAAATTCCTAATTAACATTGACATAAAAGACTAGCGAGGGTATCGGTGCTGTGCACCTGCACTACTTCTCTGCGAGCGAGAGCGGGAAGACAGGGGCAAAGACAAAGGTCACAAGAGAAGAACAGACCAAAGCAGCTGCAGTCAAGGATAAAAGGCTGAAACATCTCATTGCTTGGGATTCAGGAGAAGGTCAAGTGTTTCATTAACACAGTGAATGATGAAAACAAAGTAAAAATGACAGTGAATCTGAATATTATTTAGTGAACTGTTTTCCCTGATTGGTCAATTTTAGATGTTTGTATATAGGGGACCTATTTAGAAGAGCTCCAGTTTTTGTTAAAAAAACAGATTTATTTGATTTGTATCTACATCAGTACTTTCATTCAAATTGAAAAGAATGAAATTTCTGAGCATTAAATGTTGAAGTTAAGGAAATTAAATAAGTATTTTTCGTTTTATAATCAGTTTACTTTCAATTTTTAGAAAAATAACCCTTTTGACCAATCAGAATCAGATATATTGCCAATTAGGTTTGCACTTATGAGGAATTTGACTTGGTGTTGATGGTGCAGACAAAATAGATATATATATATAGAGAATACAGAATTTATAGTTATATACAATATAAAACATACTATATCCAATATATAGTACATAGCTATTTACTATATACAGTAGAGGAGGTCTGGAGATGCTACGTTGGTATAGCTTTTAGGTCGCTGGTAGTCTAGGGGTATAATGAAATGGTCAAGGGTTACACGAGCGAAAAAAGGTTGGGAATCACTGCATACTATAGGTGGGAAAAACGATCAATGTGATAAACATTTTTAACAAACCTTTCCATGAACGATAAAGATCAATCCTAAGACTATCATCTAAAAAATTAAGCTGACAGTTTTAAGACCCTGCTACTTTTTACAGTGCTTTATTGTCAATTTCTGATGCCAGTGTGACTAAAACCACTTTTCTATTGTTGGCTGAAAGAAGTGATACTTGGTGTGGTTTTCTGCAGTAAATTTAATTTACTATTTCATAAAAAAGCTTCTAATATAGTTGCCTTTGAGTATGTATTGTAATACATTGCATTTAATTTACAAACACTTCAACAAAAGAGTCTTACATGTGAAGAACCAATAGTGTTCAGTCAACCAGCAGCTATAGTAGGTCTTTATTGACAGTTTTTAACCAAACTACCCTTCTGTTCTTTGTAACTTAACAACTGGCAATGTGTGACTTTGTTTCAGCGATGTACAACTGGATATCTTTAATTATGAAAAGATAGTAAACTCCTCCAATGTGATGGGAGTGATCACAGGAAGTGTTGAACCAGGTGAGACTGGAAACTGAATACCAATCAGTGATCTGTCTTCTTGTAATATGTGAATAACCATTTTACTTATTTGTCCATAGACAGGTATGTGATTTACGGGAATCACAGGGACAGCTGGGTACATGGCGCCATCGACCCAAGTAGTGGAACATCTGTAATGTTGGAAATTACCAGAGTGCTTGGCAGAATGGTCAAACAGGGTGAGGAGAGTTTTTCAGCAGATGGCTGCCTGATTGTTATATTCAAAGCTGATCTCTGAGCCTCTTTGTGGCAGGAAAATGGAGACCTCGTAGATCCATCATCTTTGGAAGCTGGGGAGCTGAAGAGTTTGGCCTTATTGGATCTGCAGAGTACACAGAGGTAAAGTTTGTTTAAGCCAAGAGTGGGTTAAAGAAGGAAAATAATAAATGTTAGTTTGGTTTAAAGCAAAATTATATGTGATTTGAAAAAAAGATCTTGTATTTTTTGTGTAATATGTTTAGCAGGAACAACTAGCTAATCAAACAAATCATAATAGTACATTGATCATTACTGCTGTTCTTTATTATTATTATGATTATTTTAAAAGAGAACATTTTGCATAAAAAATACATATAATTTCAAAAAGCTAAAGAAAAGTCTTCTCTATTTTTTACCTGAAGGAATACTTCACCAAGCTCAGTGAGCGCACTGTTGGTTATATAAATGTGGATATATCTGTTTTTGGTGAGTAGATCTATATTTTAAATAAAGCTGTTTTTTGGTTTTCTTTTTTCTCTTTATTACAGTTACAGGCAACATTTTCTTGATTTGCTCCAAAACTTTAATGAAAAGAAAGAAAAAAAACTGTTCATTTAGTCTTTCTTTTTGCATATTTTAGACATTCTTAACCGCTGTTAGTAAGACTAACCATTCATTTAAATGTGATTCTGCAGCAAATGCCACACTGAGAGCTTCAGCGATGCCATCCATGCAAAATGTCATTTTCCAGGCTTCAAAACAGGTTTGCTTTTTAATAAATGAACGCACAGTGTTCAGGTCTTTCTTCAAAGTACTTTAAAACTTTGATACTCATACTAAATAAATGTGCTCACCAGGTCACTGCTCCTGGATTTGATTCCACATCTGTGTATGACAACTGGATCCGTTACTCCAACAGAACAAGCCCGACCCATGGAGTCATTCCACGGTAGAGACATCCTTTGAAACATCTGTAATCTGTTAGCACCCAGATTACAAATTATTTTAACATTTATGCTTATTATGAGTGTAAACAAAACTTTGACCAAAACCCTTGCTAAAAGCATCATCAATCACATCTACGCAGTCTCCTTAGTAACGTTTGCCCATGTGAATGAAAATGTTCATTGCCTCAGCCTGTTTGCTATCGTCTCCTAAAGAAAAATGCAAATGTGAAAAAGTTCCAGTTTTGCTTGCTGCACATTAATGTATCTAATAGGTTATAAAGAAGATGGTGAAGATGTCTAGATTTAGTCATACATTAAGCATGTTTTAAGCTCTCTGTAAGTTGTTTTGTGGTTCTTGGACTCTCTCCACAGGGTGGGATATTTGAATGGAGCAGGGAGTGATTATGCTGCCTTTGTCCATTACCTGGGAATCGCCTCTATAGATATGTCATATACATACGACAGGGTATGAAAAAAAAATGTTTCCTGAGAAATGATTTCTATTTTTGGTCAGAAATGCTTCTGAATGTTGTTTGCTGCAAATCCTAATCCAAAAGAAAAAATTTCAAATAAAAAATGGCTCTAGTAACTGTGAAAGCAACACACAATGAAAATAACACATTCAGAAATAGCACAAAATCTATAACAATGCATGTTGTTTATGAATGTATTCTTGATAAGAACTGCTGTAGCCTTTGTGTAACCTTTAAGACAAACAGATTTCATTTATGAATAAAAGCCAATTCAGTCCAAAATAAGTTGAGCAATCTAACTCATCCTTATAAAATTAAGTGTTAATCATATAAACATTGTTCTAGGAGTTATTTCAGTGAAATGGAAAATTTGTATTTAAAAGGATTTATATTCCGCTAAGAATTTAGTTTCTGATTGGGAAATGGTAAATCCATCTTTTAAAAGATAACATACTTTTAAAAAAAAGACTATATTTAAACAAGTTTAATTGACCTCATCTTTAACCAGCAACCATTTTTTTTTAAATGGAAAAAGGTTTAAAAATAGCAATAATAAAGGACTATAGGGTACAAAAATAAACATAAATGGTTAAAGACAGGAACTATTTCCTGACTGCAAAACACATCCAATTTGTAATTTAATGGGACATAATTTTATTGAAGTTTGTTCTTATTTGTGCAGAGCAAAACAAACGCTCGGATTTACCCTGCGTACCATACAGCATACGACACTTTTGACTATGCATCAAAATACATTGATCCAGGTGAGCCCTGTAATTATTGTTTTATGCAGATTCATGTCTTTCTGCTTTCAGATTGCATAAATGAACCAATATTTTTTCCTCCTCTTATCAAAACCCCAATTCTGCTCCTCCTCTAGGATTTGTCAGTCACCAAGCTGTTGGCAGGACCGCGGGAAACATCCTTATCCGACTGGCTGATAGTCTCCTCTTGCCCTTTAACTGCGGTGACTACGCTGAAAGTTTAGAGGCTTACCTGAACACAGCAGTGACCTTATACGAGGCAAAACTTAAAGCTAAAAATATCTCAATGGGTGAGTATGGAATACAATAAACAACATTTAAAATCTGCAGAATTATTTAGTTATTCATTCAGTTCTCTCCTCATCAACCTGATTTCTTAAAATGCATAAAATCTACATCATGTTCTAGGTGTGGACTTTTTCTTGTCCAGGAAATATCAATTTGAACCTAAAATAGCTTTTGGTTAATAACAAAGACAACATGTGGTTTTAGGATGTTTTATTTCACACATCATTCTGCAAATGACTGAAGGAATCTGTACTTTATTTCAGAACCTCTCAAACATGCTGTGGCAAACTTTCGCAAAGCTGCAGAGCAGCTAGACAAAATGATTCAAGACTCAGACCTGGCAAATGAAACGTAGGTTCATGCTCCCATACAGATACAGACATATTAACATGATGCATTGTTAGTCTACATATCTTTTCATTCCCCCAGGCCATTAAAGGTAAGAAAGATCAATGATCAGCTCATGTTGATGGACCGAGCCTTCTTGAATCCTCTGGCCTTCACACACGAATATGGATTCAGGTAAAACAAATGTCTTTCATTTGTAGCATTGGAATATAGTGTAGCATGATTTGGGTGATGCAAACTAACAATTTAGCTCTTAAAGTTTTGCTTTTTCTCAAAGGTGTGAAAATGCTGCATAAAGATAGGTCGTAATGGCAGTATAAGAATCAATAATAAAAACATAACCACAGCAGATGTAAGTCTGTACATAAATGACAGCAATACTCCCAGATCTTTTTTTTTTTTTTTTTGGCACTGCATGAAGCCCTGAGCATTGGACATGCATTTATGGCATGCCTGACTTTGTCTAACAGTCTTTGCACGTATACGTTAAGCACTTTTTTGTGAATTTTCAGATTCCCCAAGGATCATTTTTGCACTATTTTTTTACATTTCTTCCAGGCATGTAATCTGGGCTTCAAGCAGTTCTGGAAAGGCGACCTTCCCAGGTATTGCAGATGCCTTTGCCAAAGCCGAGTCATCAGGTTTGGCAACCGACTGGCAAAAAGTCCATTACCACCTGTCCGTAGCAGCTCAAGCCATCGAGGGGGCCGCTGACATGCTGAGTGAAGTTATATAGACAGAATGTAATATTCCATCAGAGTCTAGTTATACATATTATTGCAATAAAAATGTTCAAATTAGTGTAGATGAAGCACAAATCATACAACAATTGAAAGTTTTGAAGATAATAAATAGCTTTTCTCCTTTGAAAACACTTTTTATTGCTGTTGGGGCGCCACGGTTTAAACGATTAAAGGTGTGTTTTCTTTTTTTTAAACTAAAGCGTGCTCTTTAAGCCTGCAGAGCTGCTGTGTTCAAGACAAAGGAGGGCTGTCAGCACTCTGAAATCCATCAGCTGAATAAATTAATTTGCAATGAGAGCCAATTTTTAGCATAAAACTAAATATTAAAATCTTTTTTTTTTTTTTATAAAATTTCTAATCATTAGCCCTTCGATCTTAACTTAATCAACTATCTCTTAATCAGCCTGTTTTTAAAGTAATGATTCTAAATGTTTATTAGAGAACTATCAGCATTATGGCTGATAGTATAAAGATACAGCTCCGGAGAATATGGTTAAGCAGAATAATATTAAAGAAAAGCTAACAACCAACACAGGTGTGCACTTTGATGCTTGAGAAAGGAAATAATTTACTATGTTTGAACCAAAATGTCTGTTTAGATAAAGAACATCCTTTGCAAAATGTTTATGAAATGAATCAACACCTTTAAGATCATTTATACCGAAACTAGATTCCTTAGCTCAGGCGGAGTTTAATGCTTATTTACCTGTACTAGAGAGATGTTTTAAATAATGTACTGTAATTCTACTTGAACTGTAAATATTTTGTCCCACTGTGTCTGTATATGTGAAATTAAAACAAAAAATTGACAACATAAAGATTTTCACAAAGAATCGTCTGAATTTAGGTCTTTAACATCTTTAAGGAATATCGGCTAAAGAGGTCGAGAGATTTTCCAGTGGCTCATCAATTAATTTCATGTAGCTCATAAGTAAAATCTGTGTTGTTTTTTCATGCATTCATACTGACAGACAAGTTACACAGCAGCATGTCAGGGTTTGGTAGTTATTGGTTTTACATGTCATGGCATTAAAACTGAGAAGAAGCAGTTTTTTTTTTTAGTTTTTTTTTTTATGTTTTCTGCACAACTGGTTGAAAGTTGCAGTTTCAAGTTGGAAAAGTTAACAAAAGATCTACAGAAATCAAATATAGAGTGAAAAACTTTGGTTTCTTTCAAACTATTTTCAAAACCCAGTATGATAATTTTGTATAATTTTTGTTTTTAGCTTAGTAACACCTCTAGCAAAAAAAAAAAAAAAAAAGAAAAGAAAAGAAAGAAGAACCTGTTTGTTTGCACTCCAAGAACTTTTAATTAATCTATATTTCTCTCAGCACTATAAACACACTTGTTTTAGTTTTAACTTACTTGTATAAATGGTTTGACATCTTCCAAAGAACAAGGTTCCCCGTTTTCAGGTAACTAGAGAACAGCATAACCAGCAGCACTTTTCCCTGGTTTACTCTGCTGCAGCAGCTTCTACCTAAAGTTGTCCAAAATTATCACTAATTCACTTCTCCTCCTAGAGGAACGAAAGCATAATCTTTCTAAATAACTGATGCCTAATTTAAAGCCATCAAAAATGCAACAAACAGCCACCAGTTTTATTGGAAACCCAGTTATAGAACCTTTGAGATTGTTAGATATGAGCAGCATAAGTTAAGAAGATTGATGCTCCTGTTCCCACTACGGTATTTGGGCTATCTTTAGTGGCACTCAGGAAAAAAAATTTAAAAAATTGATAAAGAGCTAACTTCTAGCTTAATGAAAACTTCTTGCTATTATAAAAACTGACAGCATGGTAGTATACTTGGAAAACTTTGCATTTAAACTTGGTGAAGCTTTGACAACAACTGGCATATTGCAAACACTGATTAGCAGGATATGTTAACATCAACTGAACTACTACTATGGACAACAAAGAAGAAAACATTCCTCCTGGATAAGATAGCTCATTTTAAACTAAAAAAATTTCTTATCCTCAATATTCATGAAAAGAAGCATCTTACTTTGGCAAACTGAAACATCCAAAGCTTACCACTGGAGCAGCAGTTCTACTTGATGCCACCAGGGGGCAGAAAACGCTTTTAAGACAGGAGAGGATGAGAGAATAACATGGTTGAAAAACAGGAAAAGGTGAAACAGTGGCCTCCTCTATATTGGTGAAAGTTTACTCAGCTGAACAAACTAAAGTGAATCCTCAGAGCTGCTGTAAATAGAAACTTAAGGATAACACTGCTATGAATTCACCTCTATTGAAACTAAGCACTTTTATTTAAATGTTATTGCTCAGGGGTGAATACATAGAATGTATAATTACTTTTGACTTTTAAAATCCGCTAATACTTTGCAAGTATTTACGAGTTATACATCAGAATCTGGACTATAAGATTAAAAATTAGAGCTATGTTTGCAAAGGGAGGACCACATGTGTCTTTTATGATCAACATTGAGTAATTTTCTTTAGCAGGTTAGAAATTATAGTAATCTCAGTCACCAAAGATGGAAACAAGTTGAGGATTTTTAGGTTTCACAGGTTCAGGACTGCTACATTTCCTCCTGATTATACAGGTTGGTGGATTCCAGTAAAAGATGATGGTGCATTATTTAGAAGACACTGTAGTATTTTGGTTGAATGATGCTGTACTGTAGCTTTGTAAGAAATGCAAGCCAAGTTTTATAGATATAATTCTGCTTGTTTCAGCAGTATTTCTATTATTGCTGATTTTGGGTTTGAATTCATTTCTGTCAGTTCATATCATTGATAACTCTTTGTCAAACCTTGTGCCAATCTGGTCACATGGAAAAAAGGTGTAAAGAACTTTTCTCTAAAATAAACAGCTGATGATGAACATGACAGTTTGTTGTGAACAACTACGCTTAACTGTTGTGTTTAAATATTTCAAAACTGATTCATTATTTTTTTATCTCTCAGTATATGGCTTATTTCCTATCTGTAAGAAAGAATAAATAAAAACAATTTTTAAAATCAGTTCATGGTATGACCAATGTAATAAATGGTAAAGAAAGATTTCATGTAGTAACACATTGTTTTGTTTTTTTTTTCTTATTAGATATTGATAAAAATAGCTGTACATTGGAAAAAACAAAATCTAAATAAGTTATTGTTCTTAAAATAAGTGCATTTGTTCATGAACTGCGCAGGTAAGTGAGACACTACCAATGGAACAAGACAATATATATTTAAAATAAGAAAAGACAATTGCATTGTCTTATTTCAAGTGCATATGATCTAATTATCTTATTTTAAGAGAAAAAATATGTATTCCATTGGCAAATCATCTTATATACCTGCTCAAATTAAGAACAAATACATTTAATCTAAGAAATATTGACTTTATTTCTAGAACGTTTAGGCAAGAAGGAACTTCTGTGGATGTTTGTCTCTGGAGAAGCCTCTTACTGATGACACTTGTCTTTTAACAGCCCTCTAACGAGGATGCTCACAGTATTCAATAAAGTTTCTCATTTTATAAATAATTTTTTTTTTGTAAAATAATTTGTAGAGAAGGGTTCCTAGAACAGAGCCTGCCTTCTTTATTATGTTGTCTGCAACTCTTTTGCTCTGATGCCGTTACCCCAGCAGACAATTGTAGTAGAGATCACACTCTCTACAACAGACTGATAAAAATGTGGAGTATCTTGTTCACAACACTAATGGAGTTGGGCTTCATTCAAAAGGAGTTTGCTCTGCCTTTCTTGTAGACACCTTCAGCTGGCCAGGTGAAAATTAAGGCATTTACGCTCCTACACCCCCTCCTCCAAGCAGGTCAGACCTTCCCAGACTCAACATTCCAAAGTAGTAATTCATTTCCATTCATTTTAAAACCAAAAATATAGGTATGCAGGTGTTTTATAAATTGGAAGGAAGGAAGGAAGGAAGGAAGGAAGGAAGGAAGGAACCCCTGTATCAATGCTAACAGTGGTATTGTTAAGTACTGAAATACATTAACTGTTGCAGTCTATCTTTTGAAAATTCCGGAATGCACCGTCTGTCACAGGACACATTCACAATATGGAAAAACCTCTAATGTACTTCATAATTTCATTAAAGAAAACTAATTTCAACGCAAAAGAAGAACAGAAATATGAGTTTTACACACCAGTCTCAGTTTATTATTTTAAATATACATAGCCCCCCCAAGAAACAGCTTAACAGGGCTGAAAAAACACGCTCTATGTTGCGCAGCATATTGCTTATTAAGACTTTTCTTTTTAGAAAACATAACTTAAAAATATATATATATATACTACCACTTGTGTATTTTTTTTAATTCTTGAATGTTTATGCAACTGGATTTTTTTTTTTTACATCAGAAACCAGAAATGAAAAATAAAAATCAAATGGATATTTGATTCATTTTCAAATCTAGATCAAAATACAAGACATTATTCCTTTTTTGTATGCAAAGTTTATCATTTTTAATGTATTTTCCCATTTAACAGAACATCGAACAATTAGCTCAGATTTTAACACGTTTCACATCTTAACACGTGCTTGGTTTTGTTTTGCAGTGAAAAAAAAAAAAAATAAATAAGATAAAGTATTTTATATTGCGCTGTGTTTAAATTGGTTAATTCATATTCCTCTTTTCTATAGATTTTTTTTTTATTTCAACCACAAAAACCTTTTTTTCCTGTCCATTTTAACTACAAAATGTAAAATAAAATAAAAATATTATAATTTATAATTTAGGGTAATTATTATAAGGTCTGTTTTTTTTTTTTGCTTTTCATTACTGATTTCTGATAAAAAACCTCCAGTTACAAAAACTAACAAGACTGCTGCCTCTCAGTATCGGCACTAACAACTAGATGTTCTCAACACAGTCTCTAAAATAAAAGAAAGCAACACAATGTCCCTCAGTCTGGCTACATTTGAGAAAAGATTCCTTTTTTAATGACAGTGTTTACACAGTGGTCTGTACCTGGACAGGTTAATCAGCAACAGGAGATTTTTCTTTTTTTTTTTTTTAAAGAAATCCTGAGTTTAAACAAATTAAGTAGATGTGATTTTTATTAATTTAAACATCAATCAAACATCCTTTTTTTTTTTTTTTTTTTTTTTTGCAGCTCCTACCTTCACTAGTGTTTGTCTCTTTCCCATCTCCCCCATTAGAGAGTTGTAAAAGTGCTTCCTATCCAACACGTTCTAGTTTTTATGACATTGTGGATCTTCTTCATTTTAATCTAAAGTTGCAGAGCTACAATTACTGGTGCTATGATGCAGCTGATGTTGCAGGCAGAGTGAAGGACAGTGTGAAACGGCACTAGAGGAAAAACTCAGGTGTTTAAGTTACAAGGCATGCATGTTAACACGACTCAGCGAGTTTCCACCAAAAGTTATTAGTCCTTGGTTTGCATCAGTCTTTTTTGGTGTGTGTGTCAGAATCTGTGCATTTCTTTTGCTGAAGGCATGGAAAACGTCCGGCTTGTATGCTTGCTCATCAGTCCCTTCCCTGACTTCTTTGTTTTAAATATTTTGAAGCGAACAGATGACCACAACATTTGCAATGTCTATGTTTTGTGAATTTCTTTTAAACTGTTTCCAAATTGAAATTGAAAGAATATCACAGACTTTTCCACAGAGAAATATTTGATCCAGTCTTCATTAGGTGATGAGTCCATCATTCTTGCAGTCATTTTTAAGGAAACAACGGAAGGTCTCCGTTTCTTTAAATTGGTGGAAACTTCAAAAGGTTGCCGGTGTCACATACGGGGAGAGTATTTAGGGTTTCTTGGCACCTCGGTGAAAGATTTCAGCTCATACGGTATCCCTGTATCCACTTCAATGGATTTACGGGAAAATAGCAGCCGGATATCGTTGTGCAAGTAAATTTTTCCAGATTTGGAACTCTGGAATCTAAAAAATAAAAACCATGAAAGACAAAAAGAGAAAAGGCCTGTTAGAGAACAAAAAGTCTGCAACAGACTTTAACATATCTAATAACAGGATGCATCTTTAAAATAAGTGTTAGAAGGGCACTGAGCAGACTATAAAGGTATAAATTCAAATAGCTTAACCGTACCTGAGATGTATCAAGTAGCAAAGAATCCTCCTCCTGTCTAGCACTCCCCCTCCTAGAGACACCTTGTCTTTCCCCTCGCCGTCTTCTTCCACCGGCACCAGGAAGATACGGTGACGAAGGAAGGTCATGTGATTGACTGGCATGTCTTCAAAGTTGTATGTCACCAGGAACATCTTCACCACAGTTTTATTGGGATTAAATAAGGTCTGAGGAGAAGAACATCATCAGAGCTTGTGCTTCCAAAATAAAACACTCAATAGTTATGGTAAAAAAATGAAACCTCAAAAAAAAGAGAAAGAAAAGTAAACGAGACAACCCATGAAAAAAAAAAAAACACATCTATAGTAGGTAACCACCTATATTGAGCAGAACAATCATTTAAGTGTATGCCACCTGGACTAACTCACCACTTGTATGGTCCCTGCTTTGGGAATGCTGTATCCTTTTTTTCCAAGAGGCTCCAGAGAAATCACTCCCTGTTAGAGAGAAGCATACATGTGCCGAAAAAATGTTAAAAAAATAAATAAAAAAAAATTCCTAATGCATTTAAGTAGCTTCAGAGTTTCACAAAAGAACCAGAGATGAGAAGATCAGCATCACATACGTATGGAGTCCAAACCATTGAGAATCAATTCAATCTTTAGCGAAAAATATGCTAGTTAAACCAGAGTGGATATTGTTTCGCCAGATAAACAAACAAAGACACAAACTGACTGACCAGGAAGGGTGAGGGCGCGCTGTGCTCTGAGATGTCGTAGTAAGTAACCTGCACAGGCAAAGTGACGTGCTGCGGGCAGTAGGAGCCGCTGGCTCCAATCTCTGCTGTAAAGCCTTCAATCTGCCCAGATGGGGAGAATCTGCCCTTCAGTATGGACTCCTGCAGTAAAAACAAAAGGAGAAGAAAGGTTTAGTCAGGAAACCCTTAAAAAAAGTGACCATTTTTTAAATGCAGGCTATCAGGGACAGCTATTACTAAAAGTAGTGAATGGGGGGGAAAATGCAAAGCAAATGGCTAAACATGCTACAGACACATTAACAAAGCAAACTCAAAACCAAACAAGCCCAAAAAACAAATTCAACCAAAAATAACTCTCCAAAAGATAGATGCTACAAAATAAAATAAAAACCCAGAAAGATAAAAAATTTAATGAATGCGTCTATGGCCGGTTCAGCCGTTCACTGTGTCTGCATTCATTGGCTTCCATTAATGATGTAGTTGCAAAAGTATTAGTTTATAAATAACTCTGAATTGGACTTTCTCCAATCAAACCCAAAGAGATATTTTACATTAGACTGAAATATGATTTTTTTTTTTTGCCAGAATATAAAAATAAGCTTTTAAGCACGATCAACTTATTACATCAACTTTAGACCCTCATCTGCCTTTACCGTGTATTCTTCAAAATAATCAATAAACTAGCCTCTGGCTCTGTAAAAAATATGTCTGTTCATTATATGCAGCTGTCTAATTTAAAATGGTTTAAGATAAACAAAACCCTCTTCTTTAAAAAAATAAAAAATAAAAAAAAGAGGGTTTTGTTTTTCCCACATAAAGAAGCAGCTTTTTAATCGTACCGTTGATTCAAAGGACTACTATATAATACCGGCTTTTTTTTGTAGCCATTCCATAACTAATTAAAGTCAGCAACAGTTACTGGAATGAAATTTTGAAGAGCAGCAAAGATTTTTTTTTTCTTATGATGCTCATTTTAATCAGCTTAAGACTCACTATAAAGACTTTTATCAAGAGGGACCTGCATATAGGCAGCAGAGCTACCATTATACATAACAGGTCTAACAAATCTTGGAGTGATAGAAGAACAATGACCTCAAAACCAATCACTAGAATTTTAACTCACCAACTGTACTCCTATCGTTAGTTAATTTATTTGAAATGAGATAAATCTGTCAAACATGAAATCTTCAGTTACAGACATTGGTTAATCGAGTGTCACAATGAAACAACAGTGCTCAATGTAAATCCCCCAAAATGCAGTTTAAAAATCAACTGAGGCGGCTTGATGTTGAAAGATAGCATCATGTCAACGAGAAAAATACAAAAAGATATATATAGATGGGAATGAAAGGCTGATCTAGAAGTCAAGGAGTGTTCCTGGTCCCAGAGGTTGGTCCAAAGCTCATCGCACATTGCAGTAATTAAGAAAAGGGAGAACAACTTTATGTTTTAAAAGAGTGTAGCATGTTTCTTATTACAGCCGTTATAGTTTCATGATTTCAAGAGAGGTTGAGATGTAGGGAGGTTTTATGGAGATTGTCAGCTTCTGTTGTATTTGGACTAGAAACAGTGGAGAAATCTAGCGGTCCTGGTTTTAGTATTTGGCTTTCAATAAAAAAAAGTTACATTTAGTAATTTCTTAATGTGGTATTTATTTCTCTGTCTAAATAAACATACGTCAATTAAACACTGAATGTGCTAAATAGTAAGATTATGCTATTGTGATATCTGATAAATTCATTTGAAGGTTAATCACACTTTTTACCAGTTCGGGCAGTTTGTGTCAATAACTGTAATATATAATAGAAGCAGATCCATCTTAATTATAAAGAACCTTTCTTATAGAGATTTGCTGTGCTGGTTCATGTATGTGTGCAACTCCTGATACCAACTTCTAATTGTTAGAGGATTTTCCTGGAACATTGAGGGGCCAGCACTGTGTGATATGATGTCTTAAAAGACAACAAAACGATCTGTCCATTTCTTAGTTTGTTAGATTTGACAAAAATAACTAAATATATCAACCTATATTGTGTGATAGTGACTTACCCATCAACTAACCTATCTGGGTCCAATTATTGGATTTGGATCAAGGAATTTTAAATTATAGTTATCAGAGTCTCGGATGCAGCTGGATCCTAACAGTTTTTGGGTGCAGCTTGCAAAACTGGAAACAGGAGTGTGCAGACAATCTATGAAAACTGAATTTCTTCATTAATCTAAAACTTCTAGGCTTTCTCTCACCATCCAAGCAATTTTTGTTATTTGCAAAGAAGTTCACAATGAAGAGAAAGAAAGAAATGGATTGTATCGGCTGTTATGACTCCTTCTGCCTGTCATACGAACCATTCTGCTTGCTTTGCTCAAATACCTCCAGAATGCTGTCAAGTGGTGGAAAAGCTGGGCAGAGTGCAGTTAAAGCACGAGTCATTGAACTTTATGATGTTCAAAGTAAGCCTTAGATTTATACAACAGGATAAAGTTTTGTCTGCACACAGACAGGATGAAATGCACTCTGCTTATCGAGGCATTTTAAGGCCATGGAGTTTGTCAAAGACATAACAGTATTGGTTTTACTGCCTTTAAGATGGCATAAAAGAGGGAGTCTATTAGCAAGGGACTACTCTTACCTAACGTGTATTACTGCACATTGCAGTAATGAAGAAACCAGAGAAGAACTTTGTTTTAAAAGACCATAGCATGTTTCTTATTACAGGCGTTATAGTTTCATGATTTAACAAAGGATTTCAAGAGAGGTTGAGATTTAGGGAGGTTATTATGGAGATGGTCAGCTTTTGTTGTATTTGGACTGGACTTAAAGGCAGTAAAACCAAAACTGTTATGTCTTTGACAAACTCTATGGATTAAAATGATGGATAAAACAATCCTGACAAGTAGATTCTTTTGCTAATCCTTGATTTGAACAAGTTAAGCAAAACAGGCTGGACTAAAAGATTGTACAGCTCGTTTAAATTTCCTGAAATAAATATGACACTTAAATACCTCAAAGTTGCCGAGCAGCGAGCGACTGATGGAAGACGAGGACCAACGTGTGGCTCTGCCGGTCTGCCTTCCGCTGCGAAGCTGGCGACTAGATATGGCCACAAACACACACACACAACCACCTGTGGTTAGTGGCTGGGAGGACAATAATCTTGCGTTAACCAATATGTCACACGCCTGTGAGCGTGTCTCTAAACTGAAATCCAGACAAGAAACCCTTTAATTTAGAAAAAGAGGAAGCATAATTTACACTCCCATTCCTCTTGTTTAACTAAAATCTGAAAACCTTTACAAAACACTTTATTTCCATCAACATCTGGAAAACAAAATCTATGATCTCCGATAAAATTCCATTTTAAATGGCTAGATCCTGTTTCTGTAACTTTTTTGTTGTTAAATGTAATTAGAGGTCTGCAGAAATGATAAACAACTCACCTTTTTAAGCGCAGCCCAGTCTTTAGTCGTCTCCCAGATCTGGTGCAGTCTGTGGCAGTCTGAGTGAAGGAAAAACACATAAAGAGGGAATTAATTGTTTTTGTTGAATTAGATCTTAATTTATAACTTAGATAGCATGCATTAAAATTGAAAGGAATTTTGAAATGGCAAAATGTTCTTAAGACTAGCAACAAACTAAAACCGTTTCTGTGTTTTACTTACTGAACACCGACAATCGGATTCAAAAATATTTTCCATTTCCAGGCTCTGGTTCACACTAAAAGCTGCCCCTTTGTCAGATGACTCGTCACCAGCAAAACTTACACTACCTTCCCAATCTTTTCCCACAGCAAATTTCTCACTCATAGTGAGAAATAGACACTTATGATTTAACCACCTTTAAAACCTTTGTCAGCTTTCTGCCTCATCTTCACATACAGTTAAATACAAATTAAGCATTATTAAATGATTCAATTTCTGCTAACCTGTGTTTACTCAAACATCAGGTTTAGCATTAGGTCTTTTCCAGCTTTTCTGTGTATTTTAGTTAGATTTCTACTCATCCCCTCTCTGAAACCAAACCAGAGAAACGCCATTAGGACTATCCATGTAAAAGCTGACGGAATTAGCTCTTTCTGGCCTCTCAAAGTAAAAAAAAAAAAAAAAAAAAAAGTCCAGTTCACTTCCAGAAAGGTTTTAAGCAAACTGTATCTAAACATGGGTGTGCGTGCGCTCATGCATCAGTATGAGGGACACCCCACACTTATGTTAGGTAACAATGGCCCTTCCCTCAATAGGCTTTATTCTGGAGCTGCTCTGCTCTGTTCCAGCATGTGATGATGATGATGAGCCAGCTGTCACCTCATGCTTTGACATTTGACTTGTTCTTATAGTCTGTGATGGGTTTTTATGTTACGCTGCAAAAATGATCGAAAAATTTGTAAAAATGCCCTAAAATATGGGAATTTGCCATTCATTTCAGTACAGTAGGTAAATAAGATGATCTGCCAATGGAATTAGTATTTCTACCCTTAAATTAAGATAATTAGACATTATGTGCTTGAAATAAGAGTCAGCGGTTGCCTGCTTAATTCAAGAAAAAAAGAAATCACTTATTTTAAGAAAAACTGACTTACTTGAATTTCAACTTTTTCAGTGTGATGCCCAAAATCTTTCCCATGATCAACAGGGCAGCAGATGTCTCCCCTTTACCCACCAGCCACTTGTTTTAATTTTATACTTTTAATCAAACTGCAATTTATAGAATATCAGATTATTTTTGTTATTTTATGAATAAGAAATGAAATGATCAGAAAAATCAGCTGTATTTTTGAGTTTTGCATAGTCTTCCGAGGATTTTATAATAGCCTAAGATATAGCTTTTTCAAAATATGTGCTGGCAAATTTTTAGAACTGGTGGACACGTTAAGCTGAAATGCACTCAGAGGAAAAAATGAAATAAATACCAAACTTCACTGTGACTTGTTTAATCAGAAGTGGTAACGTTCGGGCATGGGCTACGTATTTTTTCGAACCTCTTTTTCCATGATTTACTCCGTATTTGGTAATTAGCTAAATGTAGCTTGTTGTTGTCATACTTTTAGTTGTTTAAAACGTCTTTATTGTCAGTCTTACTGTAAAATGCTCAAGTTTAAAGCTATAGGATTCAAAAGGATGACATCGCAGAGTGAAAAAAAAAAAACATTTACAAGCAATGGATACATTTTTGGAAGGTGTCTTTAGATACTTTGCCAGTCGATCTTTGCTAATTAGTTTTATGATACCTATTAAATGCAGCAGTCTTATAAATCTTTACTGAAATAAAAAAAATAAATGAATAAATCTTAAATTTGCACATTTCCATTCCATGTTGTAGCTGTTAAAACTTGTTTTGTTGCCCTAACGGGCAGAAAGCATCAAGCCAGAGCTGCAGAATATTAAGATGTAATAAGGAAGTACATTAAAAACACTCTAAAAAAAAATTCCTGCACTAAAACACAGTCATGGAATCCTACTTTTTGTCTTTTTCTTTTGTTTTCTTTTAAATAAAACCTGAATAATTCCAAATGAATTTTGCTAATCGTAACCCAAAAGTCATTCTAAAAATATCTTTCCTTAGTTCAGTCTACTATTAGCTGAAACAAACATGGATGGGGTGCATGATGTGTGTTTGGGTGCTGACCTTAGGTCGGTCTCGTGTATGAGGAAGCAGGTGGTTCCAGTACGGAGCAGCTTTAGCATCAGTGCTGCGACATGAGGCCAGTCCCACGCCAGAAGTCAGCAAGGACAGCCTGCTTCTTTTAGATGTAGAAGGCCCCTCATCTTCGGAGCACGAGTCTGCTGCGTCGCTTGGTGAAAGCAGTCTCTTTTTGGCGGGCCAATGGCCTCCAGACAGTAGACGGTGACCATTACTGCTTGGAGTTTTCTCCCAAGAAGCCAGACCATTTGACAAAGTGGCCTGTTGGGTGGCACTTCGTTCAGGGGGAGAGGATTCAAGACCGATGTCCCATTCAGTAGCTTCCCCTGGTTCCTGCATCTCTGTGTGGTGTGGAGGGGAGAAGGGCCCCGGAGGACTTGTGGGGCTGGCAGGGTTAGGAGTTTCATATGCGGACATTTCATATAGGAAGGGGCTGGGCTGGCCTCCAGATGAGCCATTACTGCAGCAGTCATGTCCAGGGCTGCCTAACAGGTGGGTTGCTGTGCGGACTCCATTAATTGTTTCGGTCCTTATGGAGTTTCCATTTGAGTGTCCCTGGTCACAGATGTGCCCGTGTGGGTCGCACATTGGTGGAGATTTTGGGGAAAGTGGAGCAAACGCATCAGGGATGGGTCTATCGTGATTGTGCTGAGCTGGTCGCCGGGAGGGAGTTTGGCTCGGGGAGAGCGGTGGTGACCTAGGTGACAGTCCACCTTCAGAATCTCTATGCTCCATTTGTATGAAAGAGTATGGAGAAACAGGTCCACCAGCCCCAATCACAGACCCATTCCCATTGGCTGGAGCTACGGTGGACCCACATATTACGCCTCCCTCCATCAGCTCATTGTCTGATATGTCTTCCAGGTGGGAACGCTTATGAGTCAGCTGAGGCTCATCTATTCCTCTTTTGCAACCAGACCGACATGATCTCTGTTGGGCATCATCACTATGAGATCCAGAAGAGGGAGAAAATCCTCCCATTTGAGAGAAAATGGAAAGCTGGTAAACCTTTTGGAGCCGCAGCTCTTCTTGGTCAAGGCGCCTGGGCGCCCCCGCTACTGTTGGAGATGGAGGCAGGTCCCCCTCCTGAGCTGGCAGCTCCAGCTGAGCCTTTTTCTGGGCCAGCTCTACATGAATGTGCCTCATGGTTTTGCTGCAAGAGGCTCAACTTCTGAGCAACAAGGTCAAGAAGGTCCTAAGAAATACCTGACGGCAGAAGCTGATGTTCCTCAAGAAAGGAGATTTGTCCTACAAGTATGAATTTGGTGGCATCAAAACAAGATGATGGGCCACACACCACCTGAGTGGAACAGAAAAACATATTGCTACATGGTAAATGAATCAAAAGTAGAAAGAAACTATAATCTATATTCCCCGTTTCATATTTGGACCTTCTACTGCTAGGGTCAAAGTCTACTGTTCTGCCAGATGGCCTGACTCGGCTGGAGATTTATTCCTGTTCAAAGGGAGTGGTTTCTCTCCACTCTTGCCACAACTTGCTCAGGATGAGAGATTGCTGCCAAATCATGTGGCTTGATGCAATCATCTCAGTCAAGCAGAAATGATATAATATTTAATCAGCCGCATTTTTCTGTGTTGTTTTATAGTTTGGAATGAAATTAAATCTAGCAATATGAATCAACAGGCCTTGTTTGAATTTTAAACAAAGTTGAACTTTAGATTACAGGAATAGGTGAGCTAAGCTGCATAAAGGAAACAGCAGATATAGCATCCCTAGTAACTGATCTCACTATGTTACTGTATAATATGAGCAACATGAAAAAAGAATCATATTTGACCTTAAAACGAAATAAAAAGAATACAATGCGAAGTAAGCACACAGATCAAGTTGGTAAAACACAAAACATTTGCATCATTTTCTTCAGTATCCTGATTGGCTTGTTAGCAACAATGAGAAGATCAGCGTCTCACCTTTGTGTAATTGTGTTGATGAGTCTCTGATACATCAGAAAGATGTGTCTAAATAAACCATTCTTGGATTTCATCCATGTTTCCTGAAGCTGGCATGAAAGGATGCCGTCATCACCAAGCAGATAACCAGGAAACGGGGAGCAGGACCAATATGTTAATGGCACAACCACTCACACCTATGAAAATCAGAAGGTAAATCAACTACTACCAATACGTGTCAGAAAACTAGATTGTGAGAGCAGGGATTAGAAGATTTTTATCTTTTTTTTTATTATTATCCATAAAAACTAAGAAACATCACATTGAGATTATAGCAAATTCCTTACACCAGTAATTGTCGCAGTGTCAGTACGGCAGAGAGCTCTTGAAAGGGAAGATCTGTGAATCCGTGCTGGCAGTAATTCTGTTGCCACTCCCTCTATGATTGGCTGACAGCCAGGTGAACCTTCCGTGGTTACCTGGGTGTGACTTGGGACACGGCTGTGGCATCATGGCTGGGTCATTCCACCCAGATTCCCTGAAGAAGCAGAGACACATCAAAACTGTTAGAAGTTAAAGAATATCAACGAAACTCACTAAAAAGCAACATTTCTCATGGTAAACGCATGAACAGTTAAGATGTAAACATAACATGGCTGCAGAAACGGCCACATTAGTCAAGATACAGAAGTAATTGTTCAAGCAGAGTGTAAAAGAATCCATAAAGAACTTTTCTCATTTCCATGTTTTCCTTGAAGACATCCGTCAGTGTAAACACAAAGGCCCCAAACTCTTTGAGTTGATAATCACACATGAAGGAGTCACTTCATGGAGCTAACTTGGCTCCAGACTGTCCTGCATCAAAAGAACTGGGCTGTTTCCCATCCTACTTGGACCTGAATTTGGGAATGTTTGGTGAAGGGAGGGAAGCGGCGGTGGGGGGTTGCAGTGAGCCATCTCCATGGCAACATGTAGCCCAAGGATAACGACTCCTTTGTACTTGGCCACAAAGAGGAAGAAAAAGAAGCAGAGCCACTGAGTGTTTGAGATGGTGGTAGATGTCATGTTTGGGGGGGTGGGATGGGGGGTTGTTATAAAATAAATACACACAGCAGTTTGATGAAAGTAATGTTTAAAAAGAAGAATTAGCATAATTTAAAAAAAAAGCCCCTCACTTGTGAAATATTTGGTCTCCATCTTACCCCGCCTCCAACAACTAACTCTGCTTTTTGCATTTCAGAGGATGATTTAAAAAACAAAAAACAAATAGATCTATCTTTAATATTTATCTGCCCAGCAGGTAAGGCAATTTGATTTCTTAAGCACAGATAGGCTACCAAACAACTTAAATCGCCTTACAACACCAAAAAATAAGAAAACACATTCAGAAGTACATTGCAGTGGCATATAAAGGAAAGTAAGAAATGCTTCACTTCATTAGTGTAAAATTAGTCTGTAAATACATGCGTTCCTATAAGATTGAATTACAAGAGTAATCTATTCACATGTCTGAGCTGTTCTTCCAATAAGAAATGAGACTAGCTGCACTCTGGGTGACCTGGAGTTGGTATGCAAATGATCTTACTGACAAATGGTGCTTTAATAAATCTTGTCATAAGCCATTTGTTATTTTATTTCTCTTTCAGGCTACACTATAAAGTTCATGGGCAAAAACAGATGCATCTTTAACAGGAAGGAGAGCTCAGACTGAACAGTAAAAGAAAAGAGGAAACACTCTAAACCTCTACGTTTGCATACTACTTAAACTGATCGTGCATAAAGTTTGCAACACCTGCGTGGAAACGTGTTGGTCTTCCAATACCTGAACAGTTTTAGCATGGATTTAATAAAAGTTTGACATTTTATCGAATACTTAGCAACAAATCCATGAAAGTCTTTATGTTTTGTGTCGTGTCTACAGGAATGAGGCTTGTTAGACCAGCAAACCCACAAATCAGCGTTGGACTGAGATGTTGAGAATGTGGAGCCCCAAGCCATAACTGAAACCCTGTTTTGCTCCTTTCTACCATTTCTGAACCTTTTTTGCTTAATGGTAAGGCTTGTTTTTCTACTGAAACACACCACAGCCATCAAAGCGTTGGGTTGGTTGTTGGTTGGTGTCAAAATAAAATCCACATAAATGGCTAGATGAAATGTTTCACTGTATATTATTGCAAAAAGCACCACACTGCTGCTTTCTGGCTCAACCTTATCCCATGGTAAACGCATGTGTTATGTCTTTCTCAGGTTAGGGAAACCCCAACATCCATCGGCATAATATAAAGAACAATTGATTCATTAGACCACACTATGTTTTTTGGCCTCAAACAAAATTACCTTTGAGATCTGCATTTTTTTAATGGCTGCATAAAACATTTCATGAACTACCATAATAAAGAGATTATCATTATTATATATTCCATCCCTCTGGGCTCATAATGGAATATATAGGCAGTGCATTAAATGGCTTACCATAAGGTATTTATGTTCTCCAACTGCTGCATACAAAAGAATCGCGTGGTAAGGAGTCTCTGTCACCTATAATTAGCCACCTAACATATGGTTTCTCTTTGCAGTCACACACTGCTTAAGTGGAATCTTAGGTTTCATGTCAATGATATAATCAAAAATACTCAAAAGTAGGAGCACAACACCATCAAGTAAATCAGATTCTTAACTTTAAATGGTTTTAATCAAAATATCTAAAAAGAAAACAAATTTAGATGCATGCAGCTATTTTGGAAACTTTATATAAGGATAGTGTCACAGTTGCTCTTAATGAGGATCGAACTAAAGAGAGGCAAATATGAAGAGGATGATCAGTCAATTTTCCATTTATATGTACGACTTCAACAGATGCTGGTGAGAAAATATAGGAGAGTGTGCATCTAAAGTGTTGGTATTTCTAACTTTTTATATGCCAGAAGACCAGTCAACAGAGATCTCCATAGTAAAGGTTAAATGGATCAATACACAAAAAAGGGGGAGGAAGTTTCAATATTGTTACTATCCAAATGTTAAGTTTCAGGTCCTGCCTGATTCCTGACCATATTTTTAAGAAGCAGAGGGCTTGCAGAGTCCTTCTGTGACTCAATTGAGCTGCTGGCAGTGGAAAGGAAACAATCTGGCTTCAACCCAAGAAAACTCAGGTTGCTGGGCGTGTGCCCCTATGTGGTAACTCAAGAATTTTATTAGCTGCATTGGTGAACCCTGTGACAATGCTTTATGCTCTGCATTTAAAGCTTGTGTTGTATAAACTAATATGCAGAAATCACCCAAAGTCTGTAGTTTACAAGAAAGCTTTTTTTTTCTTGTAGTTGAAACATGATTTATAATCACACATCATATAAATTGTCCAAAACTTTGCATTGCGTTAAATAAAATGGTCTACAATGCAAATTTACAATGCAAATTAATTAATATACCTTTATATTGAAGACATAGGTCACAGTCTACAATTCAGTGAACAGCAAGAGACTGCTAAAAAAAATGCATCATACAAAACACATACAACTTGTATAAAACTATATCAATCTCCTGTTAAGTCAAAGGTTAAGTGAAAATATCAAAACACTTTGTAAAGCTGAAGGCTGCGTTAATGTGTCCTTGCATTAGCTGAGATGGATTTATCCTCTACTCTCAGGAGGCAGAGAAAAGATTAAGAAACCGACTACCCACCAGCAGATTATATTCTCTCAACTGAATGCTGGTCCTCTGGGATAATCTACCTGTACTCATGTTTATTGTAAGTTAAAGTGGTTTTGCAGTAAATAAAAGGCTTTCTTATTGCAGGAGATCAGACAAAATGAATTTAGTTGATTAGAAACTCTAATCTAATAATAGTTTTTTTCAGAGCAAATTGATCTTTGAATCAGAGGCACAATTAATAAAAAATAGGTATAATATAGAGCATTCTCAAAAGTAATGAACAGTTTAAATAATGCAGGGGATTTGAGAATTTTTACAATTATTTTTCTACATATTAGCAACATTACATCTTGTTCAGAGGAACTAAGTCATGTCAGGAACTTGAGTTGTATTTATCAAGTACTGATAAATAAATAGGCTTGATAGGCATTAAACTCTGTAATGAAAACCTTCAGTAATGGATCAATTTGTTTTTGCGTCACAAATTACATCCCTTTTTGCAAAGGCAACTTAAAAATAAAAGTGAAATTTTTTGGCATTTCAGGATCACCTGTTGCATTGTGTATTAAAATAAAATCAGTCCATTATATTTTATATCCATTAAAAAATTCAATCCTGTTTGAAACACTGCTAAAAATGTCTCAATATTTCATAAATATTTCAAAGAAGAAGACTGGAAATAATTTGATGACAAACAGAAGGAGGATGGAGAAGCAGCTAACTGGAGAGAAGATTATGGCCATGCAGTGAAACTTCACCCTGGCTTAAGATCTTGAGACGTATAAATAGACCAGGAGCAAGAGGAGCTCCCTCTCCGACATCAGAGCCAAAATATGGAGCTTATGGCTAAAGCTGCAATGAGATGTGCTTACAAGTTTAAATCAAAACAACTGGGACTCACATTACTAATTAACAGAGAGCAGACCCCTCCCCTCCAATATATGCTTTGCTCTAAAATTGTCCAAATAGCTCAATAAAACAGGTACACAAGATTGAAGTGCTGAACATGAGTAACCGTTAACAAGCAGTAAGCAACATAATATATCTCCAACTGGTTCTGAAGGCAGATGGATACTAGTTAGTTTATCAAAGTCAAACCTCTAGTATTAGAGAGGCAAATATAAAATCTCCAATGACTGAAATCAACATCTTCTAACTAGTGTCTAACTAATCTGCAGTAAAAAATCAATTTGCAAATGTTTTGTTTTCCTTAATTTCAAACATTTATTATTTGCAGTTCATTTTAATTTAGTTAGTTTTTTTTTTAAGTGAACATAACATTAACAGCCCTTCACCTATCATTCAGTATATAGATGTTTGTATAGAGTATGGTTGTGTTAGTTCCTCTATAAGAGAAGCATAAGATTATTTGACAGTTAAATCTTTATTCTAAAGTCTAAAGGCTGAATATTCCTTGATACACTTATAGAAGCTGCATCATGGAATAGACTATGGATTTTTTAACTAATATAACAGGATAAAACACTTATTCTGAAGACACAGCAGTGTCTTCATAACAATATCAGCTTATTAGTGATTTGAATGCAAATCTTTGCACTAAGATACATCCATGTGGTCAGCAATTATCATAATTGGGTCATAAATTATCATTAGGATCTAATCACATTCCAACCTAAGAGCATTACATTTAAGAAAGACTTACAGCTGCAGTGATGTGTTGAATATGTAGGGTTGTTCACAGAAGTAGATAAGATCGTCTACTTAGAAGTACTGCTGTGTGCTAAGGCCAAGGGAGAAATTGGCCATGAGGTCAAAAGGCCCAGAGGTCAGATGAGGGTGATTCGTTTCATCACCATGAGGAGGGTTGTGTCAGTCTGACAAGATCAACACAGCAGATGAAGATGATCTAATCACTGCATTGCCACTAATGAATTAATGCATAAAATCATACCTAAGACACTCTGTGATTAGTAAATAGACAATCTGCATACTAAGCAAAAAATAGAATCAAACCTAGAAAGATGTTGCCCTGATAAAGAGGAGCAGACTTCTTTTCAAATATTTTGAATGGTTTGAAATTTACGACATTAAAGCTAGTACCTTCACAGTATGTTCATAGTCTTATGTAAAAAACCAAGAGAAAAGGCATACTTGTGAAGAAAATATATATGGTCTTCTATTTAGGAAAATAAAAAATAAAAAAGCTTTGTTTTGCATTTCTACCGTACTAATCCTCCTTTTTCTTTGACGTCCTTAAATAAAGTCTATTGCAATTCAGATGTCAGCTAATCACAAAGTTGACTTGACCAATCACTGCATCTACAAAGCAGTTATGTGAAAGTAGTAAAACCAAATTAAATATGTTGAAGTTTGTGATTTAATTATGTGGACACCTAAAATGGGATGTAAACACTTTTGGAAGGCATTGATGTGTCACATAGTGATATATGCTAAGCTGATAGGCCTGACCTAGAAACCGCCTCCCAGTAATATCTGGAACGGTGTCAGGGTCAGTGTTTAAAGCTAGCCCCTAGTCTAAAAAAAATAGCCTGACATTTGGCCTGTGTATATATTAATCACAACACACAAATGATGCATGCCTTTGCACACACATAGACAAAGCCTGGCATTCAGAGCCCTATCACTTTCTGTCCTTTTAGCAGCTAAGGAAAAACATATCTTTATAATGATTCTGCAGCCCTGCTTTAAAGGTGCTGTGTTTGGAAGGAACACAGCTGCCGTTTAGACTGGACAGTTCGCTGCTTCACAGGTGCTTTTCTGTTTTTTCTGCTTATATTTCAAAATCTGGGATGGTTGAGATGCGTTTCTAAAATCTTACCTTTCATTTTATGATCTTTAATAGCAGAGTTTAATAGGAAAATGCTCCAAAAAGATTCCAAAAATATATAGCGCTCGATGTGAAATTTTAAAGTGGTAATAAGGAAAAAAAAAAGAAATGAAAATGTCGACTTCTCTTAAACAGTAAATACAAAGGTATATTACACATAAGCTTTAAAAGCTGTATTTTTTTTTTTTTGAGTTAAAGAGCATCGTACTCACTGCAGGTGACTTGAAAACATGAAAGCTGACATCAAAACTTTCTTTTAAACCAAAGGGGGACCCAACAAGAAAAGTTTGGGAACCACTGCCTTATACCATTAACCCTTTACCTCAAAGGCTTGAAAGTTATACCTATTCTTCTGAAGAGATTTTAGACACAGAGCATCTGTCAAACTATATTAATGTTAATTCACTGATTCTTATTTTAGGTTGGAGTTAGACTTTGACTAGGTCATTAAGATACAGGAATCTAACTAGTCTAACAATCTAAAGCATTTTGCCCTACATTAAGATCTAGCAACATTCCATTCAACTCAATCATGCTTTCCTATCCCAGCTGAAGGTATGAATCTTACTCATCTCATCTTTTAAGTCATCTTCGTTCTGTTTACTTCTTTTAATAATATATGTTGGAAAACACCACGTTAGAAAAAATGTTTAAAGGTTTTTTGTTTGTTTTTTCCAACTACCTCTTTAGAAGAAAAAAAGCCACATTAGTTTGACTTTTTGACAATTTCCCACCCTGCAGAAATGTGGACCGTCTTATTTTTAGGTTTGTGGCCTAAGCTGTCTTACTGAGTGGGCCTTTTGTGAAAAATAACCTTTCATCCCTGTCTTAATGCTCACTCTACCCTGCTTGTATTTTAAGTCCACCCCACAGTAGATTGTCTCATCAACATATTGCAGATCAGCCCCAGGACTACTCCCAGGCCTGTTCTGTGCCTGGAGGCTGATAAATAACAAAGGAAATACACACAGACACTTGCTGAAGTATCTTCTTAAAAATGCAAAGTTTCTGACTGCAATTAATGAACTGGTTGATTTGGGAACATGAACCTCTCTCTAATAAAATACTATGTTAAAAGAGATCTGGATGAAGTGTTTTGACACCAACATGACAAGAGGAGGGTTGGATGGAAACATGGAAGGGGCAGATAAAGATCAGGGTTAGAGCAAGCAGAGTAGTTAGGCTGTGGTGTCATGACATTGTGAACTGAACAGGCGAAGTGACATTTTTGCTGAAAATGCTGTTTGACTCAGGGTCCCCCGTCCCTCCTGCTCTCCCCTCCCTGTGTCTGTCTGCCTTTCATGTGGCCATTTTAGGAGACGTTGAGTCATCTGAGCACAGCTGACAATATGACAGAGATCAACAGTGAAGCACTTGACTTTAGAGCAGAAGTTGTCACACTCACCCTGTCTCAAAGATGAGGTTAGTCTCCTTCCTTCCTTTATTTTTAGGTCAGCAGGAGTGACACAGTTCTCCTCTGCTGCATCTGCTGGATCCCCTCTGTCTTGACTCACTTGTTTCTTCGTTTCCTTCGCCCTGAACAGTTCGTAGAGTAAAAAGACAGAAGCAGATCAAGTTTTGCCTTCCTTTCCTTGTTTTGTCCGCCAGCTTGAACTAGTGCAGGCTCTCTGTTTTCTTCCTGTCTACCTCTCCACCCTCATTCACATACACACATGCACAAATCAAAAACCTATCAACAACTCCCAGCCCCCATTTGCCTCGCCTGTGCCCTCCTTCTCCTTTTCTCTTTTAAGCCACCCCCACTTTTTCCTCCTTTTTCCCGTTTATGTGCAAAGTATCTGAAAGTTTCTGCACTCTTGGGCTCCAAGTTTTTTTCTTGTCCTCTTTCATCCTCTTTCCTATTTCTGTGTCATTTCTTCCTAACCTTTTCTCAATGTCCTGCCGTTCTGCCTTTATGTGTGTTTTCTTTCTGTTGCTTTCCTCTCAGCTGATAGATTGAGGCATGCTTTGCTCACTCAGCAGTGAAGGCATACAGAGCAAAGAAAGGAGGGGGGATTGGATGCTGCAAGCTGATTGGCGAGCCAAAAGGGGGGACAGCTGTAATGAGAAAGGTTCTGATAGGTGGAGAGGAGAAGAGTGAAAGGGGAGAGGAAGTGCAGGGAGCCAGAGGCCCGCCCACCTGCTCCTCCTGGCCCTGTTCTGCAGAGTTAAAGACCACTTCTCTGTATTCAAACTTTATGAATTCTGAGCATATTTTGTATTCTGTTATTGCCGCCTCTGATCTGCACACACACTTAACTCAATGCAACTTTTAAAAAACATCTATGGATATTAAAAGAGATTAAAAAGCCACACATCTTTATACATTTACCCGCTTTCTTTTCTGCCACCTTTTCCACACAAATGCAAGACTGTGCAGTACAAGTGCCTCGAGTAGGAAAAGCAGAAAAACAACAGCCCAAGTAAAGATAGGGAGTGAAGCAGACATGAAAAAAAGTTTATCAGCAGAGCACCAGAAGCAGCCATCAGCTGTGTGAGTATTTCTAGCATCAGTGAGCTAATAAGGAACAGCATTATGATTATGCAACACATGTAACAGGAATGTGGTTTAAGTCTTCACTACATAAAAAAAACAAAAAAAAAAAACATGCACAGCTTATTTGAGAGTCCTCTCTCTCGCTCTCCAGTGACTCACAATCAGGAGGTGAATATATACGTAAAAGAAAACCAGGCATGCCTATTTAGCAGAGTTCTAAAGTTCTGTGTGGTTGTTGCAGACACAGAAACACACCCTCCTGCAGAGTGCTGCATTATCTTTATAAGGAAGCTGTGGTTTGCCTTTTAATATAGGCCTGCTGGATGGTACACAGCAGACAAAGCTAAAGACAGCTCTGTGTGTCTTCATGGTTCACTTACTGACTGTCACCGTCTGGCTTTGGCTACTGATTTATGTGTGCCTCCTGGTTAGCTTCCAACTGTGACACACTGCATCTGTTTCTACCCAGAGGGAAAATGTACATCTGCATGTTTCTGATATGTTATCATATTATTTCAGCTATATGCAAAGAAGGTGTGTGTGTGTGTGTGTATATATATATATATACACATATATTTATTAGGTCTGGAAAAAGTTGGATTAATCGATTATTGAAATAATCGTCAATTAATTTAGTAATAAGTTAATCGCTAACTGCAGCATAGAGACTAAAACATGCATTTAGCTGACAGAGCAACCCACTTAGCGAAGTACTAATGTCAACATTGTAAAAAAAAAATACAAACATTTTGCATTGCTGATTTTAAAAATGTTTCCGTCTGTCAATTTCCACTATCCAGAACTCCTCAAGTGGGAACGTCTTAGTTTCACATGGTTTAATATTGTACAAAATTGTTTTAAAGAATCTTTGGCTATCTAATCATTAATCTAAAAAATTATCGACAGGACAGAGTAATTAAATTGCAAAATAATCATTAGCTGGAGCCCATATATATATATATATATATATATATATATATGCACACACATACAGAGACCCATCTTGCTGCAGTTTGATGGAGTGAGAATGTTTTTTTCGCAGGGTGTATAAACCTATAGGTGGGCACAGAGAGTTTTGAAGAAGACAAAATACATGCACACACACGTCGTGTTTTGGTATGTACCTCCAAATATAGAGATGTGGGGATAGAAGAGAGGAAAAGGAGGAACTCTGAGACATATATATATATATATATAGGTATGTACCTCCAAATATAGAGATGTGGGGATAGAAGAGAGGAAAAGGAGGAACTCTGAGACAGTGAGATAAACTGTTGAGCAAAGATTGAGATGAGACCAAGTTCCTGTTTTCAAACAGGCTCAACAGCATCTTGAGAGAATGAAATCATTTTCCCTAAGCTGTCCTGAAAGATTTGATGCTGCAGCAAATAAAAACCCATTTGCAATCATTGACTTAAGAACAGACATTTCCATATCTGAGAAAAAAAACTAAAGGGTGTGTCCTCTCTGTGGAGACCCTCCTCCCCATATGAGGACACAGTCAACACAGCTGACAGAGAGATTGGCTGAATATATATAAATGGATGATAATGTGGCTTTTTGTAACAGTTTAGCAAAAGGAACGGCCATTGATCATTTAGCTCAGGCTTTAAAGTGACTGTCACAGTTGCTTCTTGAAAGGAAAATACAGAAATTCAATCCACATGAGAACTCTGAAAAAAATCAGTTAGTCACAGTTTTAACTGAAGGGTCAAAAGTCACACCCATTTTAGGGACAAGGAGAGAGGAAAAAGCAGGGAATTGGGTTATAAGGTATAATGATGTGCATGTGTATGAGGGCGGAGAGGGTCAAAGCCCATGGGAGCGTATTTGAAGGCGTGTGTACTCCTGTGTGGTTTGAGGTCTGCATAGTGGTATGCACTAAGGTGGCAGAAAAAAATAACAAATATTTATATCTTTCAGTGTCTGTAAACAGGTTTCAAGGAGAACTTTCTCAAGACAGTGTGAAATGAGCAAATGTTGCTTGGATGCTTAATTAGATTTGCTTGAAGTTTTTTTTTTTCCAATATGTCCAGAAACTTTAAGATTAACAAAACATCTACCATCTTGATAAATTCATTGACCTCAATGTGCAATACCCCTTTCTTTATCACCCATAGTTTCTTATGAGGCATGTCTTGGAGATCTAATTTTTTATCATCATGCAGCTGATTTTAGAACAGAATAGGACCTATAAACCACCATGATAAAACTTCAATCCACCAATAATCTTTATCATTTATAGAGGTCTGAGGTAATCTTTAACGATAAACTGTTTCAATGGGCGTTTTATGAGTATAAAAGTTCTACATGGTAGGTCTAAGGAGGGGAATTAAATATGTGTTCAAGTTGGGAGGAGGTTTTGGAGCTATGTCTTCAAAAGAAAAAAACGCTTTCAAAAATTGGTTTAAATACTGATAGTGTACAAGTTGTTCAGATACATCACTAGGTGTGAGTATTGGCATGGGTTGTGATATGATACATGTCACGGTACTTGGGTCACAATACGATAATATCATGATTTTGCAATATTACTTTATACTGTGATATTCTTCCCGGCTACCAAATTAATTGTATAGAAATAAAAGAAAGTGCTGAAAATTGTTATAAGATATTGATAATTTTGATATTTTTGCATCCATATTGTTTGGGGTTTGAGTCAGTCCACGTCTTCCACTGTGACTGTCACAACTACAGACATGGCGCTGCACCGCACAGCAAAAGGGCTCCACAGTGCTATCTGCTAGTGGCGGTGCAGAGGTAGCCCATTTTTCCTCATTACCGGTAGGTTCAAATGTTGTTCTGTTTTTTAATCAATATTGGGTACTAAAAGATCGATATTATATATCTGGAATCTGCAAATTGATTTTTCCCACACCCCAATACATCACCACTGTTCAGGATGCCAACATATTCGCCTAAGAAAATAGATCATTGGCAAGGATGTTTAGAAACCACACATGAAGTGTAAAGAGCAAGCATGTCACACACTGAAAACTGAATTGTTATTATCTACTATACTATTAGAGATTGAAAAAAGCCTGTGCTCAAAAGCTACCAAAACAGATTAACAAATGCCTCCTGAAGAAATGTTTTAGGATCAAAATAAGACAAAAGACTGAGCTGTTTGGCCACAACAATATCATACAATACATGATACTGCTAGTGGCAGTATCATGCTTTGGGCCTTTGTTACTATCCAGCTGCAGAAGGAAATTGCACAAGATTTTGGGATTTGTACTTCAAGGGAGTGGTAACGCTGAAACAACACAAAGAGCAGGTTGTAGATACAAGTGTTAATTTTTTTAGACTAAGCCAATCAAATTTAAATATATTTTACAGTACTCTTGACTTCTGTAAGATTTCTGTCCTCCTGATGCAAGATAAACTGTTTCAATTGTCTGAAGTGAGAATAACCGAAAATCATTACAGATAAAGTTAACTATAAGGGTAAAGGAATGAATGTTGGACGTTCTCTCAATACTGTCATGAACAAATAACGGCCATGGACATGAATAAGCGAATCATGTGAAAGAACTGGACAGCAATAAATATATCAAGTTATTTCACCGCAGACCATTCACAAACAGAGCAAGGCTTCTCTATGTTATGCAAATGCATATGTATATGAATTTGTGTACAAATGCATATAGGAATATTTTGAAAGCTTGCTTTCTTTGTATCCTGCAATCTGCTGGTATGAGCATATTCATACAGCCAAGTTTGGTCGAAAACACTTGAAATTGTTTTATTTCTTCAATTTAATTTTTATGACTAAATATTCACCACACAAGTTCTCAAAATCTACATGTATCTCTAATTAGATGCAAGACTTTCGGAAGGTTTTCATTTTAAATTTCACTCCTGAGGACTTAGAGACATTACGTTTATAGAAAATAAATGTTTTAAGGAACCAACCAGAGGGGATTAGAAAAAATAAAGGAAGTTTCTTATGTGCAACAGCTAGATATACAAATGTGCCATTAGAGGAAATGTGAAGATGAAGAAAAAGTGTGGCAGCCTAAGTCTTGGTGACAGG